CCTCCACCTCCTCTTCCTAAAGCGGCGAGGCGCCGACGAGCGGCATCACTCGAGCCCAGGTCCCGGCCACCGCCACACACAGCGGCCCGCGTACAGGAGGAGGAGCAGCAGCAGCGGCGGCGGCGGCCCCAGCGGCGGGCGGGCGCCGGAAAGGTAGACTGAGTCCCGGAGCCTGCCGCCCACCTCCTGCCCCGGCCGTGCGCCCCCAGCCCAGTGACCCCACTTGTGTGTGTCCTTCCAGGCCCCGGTCGAAAAGCCTGGGAGGGCCGCCCAACTACCCCCGGAGGAGGAGCCATTCGGAGCCCCAGGCGCCGCCGCAGCAGGAGGAGTGCGGAGCAGCCGTCGCCTACATGGCCCACTCACCGGTGGCGGTCCAAGTGCCCGGGATGCAGGTGAGAACGCCCAGGCCGCTGCCACCACCCACGTGACTGCCCCGGGGCCCGGGGCGCACTCGGCAACGGGCACCGGCGACCATGGGCGGCCCTGGGGCTCCCCTGATGGCAGGGCCGACGCTGGGGCCAGGTGACCCGAGAGTCGGGCTCGAGGTGTTTCCTGGCGTCTGGGCTAGGTGGTGCTCTGCGCTAGGAAGGCGGAGAGGGACTGGGGCGCGCGACCAGATGGGGATGGGGGGATAAAAATAGTGGAGGACACCTGTGCCTGCGGGGCGGTGCATGGTTAGGGACTGGGGAATGGGGGCTTAACTTGGGAGAGAGAGAGGCGCCTGGGAATTTGTGGGGTAAAATGTGTGTCTTGCCCTCCCCCGGGTTGAGGGGCGGGGCATGACAGGGGTGACGGTGGCGTCGGCATTGAATTGGGCTCTTCCTGTGTGTGTAGAGCGAGGTGACTTCTTTTCCCCTTTCGGTGTTGCTACTTCAGGGAGAAGTTGCATTTTGCTGTCCCACCTGGCCCAGCTCATAGTGTGGTGTGAGACCTGCTGGCTCCTATTTGGAGTCGCCTAGGTGATGGCTCTGCAGCCCCCTCCCCCTGCCTTTCCACAAGACTACTGTTGTATGTGGTTAAAGGAAGCTTTTTGTCCTGGACAGGGGACTACTGCATGCGACCCAACTTCTTACTGCAGGTCTACCAAGCCCCTCCCCAACTGTATTTTTATTGTATTAAAGAAGAGATAAGTTATGTCGAGAAACTTTTTATGCGGTTGTTTTTATATCCGTGCATTTCAGACTATCTACTAAATGTTATCCAACTCTACTATCGTTTTAAACCATTCTTCACATTTTCCCCTTTGCCAGACAGTCTAAAAATCCATTTATGAATAGGTCAGAGGCTAAATACATTGAGGCCTCTGTGGCTCATTATCTTGTAAAAATGTGAAAGCAAACTTTTTTTTTCAAGTTTAGAAAATAATTTTTAGAATAGTAAATGGACAGCTTATGTTTCTAGTAGAAATCAAAGCATTGTGGATTCAGGGCCTCAATTTGCTTGTTGATGCATGGAATTCATCTTTTTTTAGCCATTGATCTCATTTTATGCATGTTCACACGCACACACACAGAGACAAGTTTCTGTAAGTCCTTCCAGAGAAAGGTCGTCTGTGTTGGCTATACATCTAACCTAGCACCAGGCCTGTCAGCTGTATTTTAGGGCAAGTCTGCATTGAGTCCCAGAAGTTGGTGTGCGTTTAATAAAAGAGAGAAACAAAGAAGAAAGGGAAATGGGAAATATTAGGGCTTTTTAAAGGTTAATCCATTCAAGCTTGACAAAATGCTTCAAAGTCTCTTCTTCTCAGCCCCTCTCCCCTCTCCCTCCCCCCATTCATTGAGTTCTGCCTTTGATTGTAGCAAGAGAATTGGTAGTTTGCAATACTAACTACAGTTTTGCTCTGTCTGATCTGGAAGAAAGTGCAAAAATCTTCCCATCTTTCTCTCCTCTCCATTATAAGGGGAGTAGAAAGTTATGGATGTGAAGTTTGTCTCTGAGAGTCTCCTTGCCTCTCTCTCCATTGTGTGCACGCGCCTGTGTGCATGTGGGTCTGCAGAGTATTGCCTTCTGTTCTTCAAGTGTGTGATTTGAGGGAACTCTGTGTGCTGAGGAGAAAATGGTTTCTGGTCTTTATTTGATTTGTCTTGACTTTATTTGATTTATATGGTTTCTGGTCTCTATTTGATTTGTCTTGACTTTATTTGATTTATACGGTTTAGGAACTGCTTGCTGTTCAGTATTTCTTATTGCTATCTGCTTTGTTTAGTTATCTGAGTTACCTATCTCTTGAAGTCCTAAATCTTAATTACAGTGTTTTTGAATGTGAATCACATATTTTAAACGACAAATTCTGCCTCTCACTTTGTGCCCTCCAAACATTGTGATTACTTTGTCCAACCTAATTTGGGTAGGGCAGTCATCTCAATATTAACCAAGAAGAGAGGATTATTTATTTGCCATTGTCTTAATGAAATGATAAATTCTTAACTTCTGATTTATATTTTATTTCTAGATATGGTTCATAGGCACTTAGTGGAACACGAAGGTTTTCCGTAGTTAAAATCGTACAGTGCCCTAAAAGTAAATTAGGCGACATTCAATGTAATTCTTGAGCCTAGACTACTCTTACTCTTCTTTTGTGCAAAATATGGCAGATGAGATGCAGACATATATCATGAGCTTGTAAAATTCTCCTAGAGTTTTGTGAAAGAGTTAGGGGCAACTTTTAGACCTTTAGAGTAGTAAGAAAACTTGAGTTAGCCATGTGTTCTTGAAATTAATGTATAGTATTTCCACAAATCAGGTGAAGTGGTCGACCAGCCTATAACTTTTTAACAGTTTATTTTAGAGAATTATGAAGATTGGTGGAAAAAATGATTTTTCCAGAAATAAAAACAAAATTACTTTATCCACAGTGTTTTTCTCCTTCTGAGGAGAGACGTGAAGTAGAAACCAAGCTACCTGTTCTATCACTTAAGACTTCCAGCATTCCTGACTTTCAAACAAAGAAATTTCTGTTGCCACTAGTTTAAAATAGAAAAGAAACTTGGAGTGATGAAAGAAAACTCGGGATTTGGTCCAGTTCAAACTCTTCCTTATGAGTTAGTTATTCAAACTCATATTGTTGATATTTCTTAATATTGTGGTAATGAACTTTTTTTGCCATATTACACCAAATGTTGAGGGTATGATTTTGTTTTTTGTTCTTAATTTTTGCTTACTTCTTTAGTGTGTAACTAAAGGAATTTTCCATACCAGCAACTGAACTCTTGAAAAATATTTAAAGCACCACGTTTTAAAAAAATAATAAACCAATAAACCTGTTTCGTTCCACTCAAATATTTACTCTTTAATGATTTAAAACGTTTTCCCTTTGAAGTTTTAAGTGATAAATCATACTTAAGATATGTCCCCCTAGAACCTACATTACTATTTATACACAGATATTCTAAATTGATTTTTAAACCTTTCATATAGTTAGAATAAAGTTACATGTTGAATTTATTTTGAGACCTGAATATTATTATATATTATGCTTTATGCTATGCCTATTTAACAATTTTAAAAAATCCCTGCTAAAGAATTTAAAAATAAGCTTTCATGTATCTTCAAATATGATCAAGGTGGTGCAGTTTAAAAATGGTTGTTATTTGAAGTGTGAAATGGACATGAAGTTTAAGGATCAATCAGCAATTTATTGAGGACTTTTATCTAAGAGATAAAAACATTACCTTGCATTGGTGAACCTAGTTACTGGATTCTGGGAAGGACACAGAAGTATACTACATGATCTCTGCCCTTAAAGACTTAAAATTTTGTTGGGGAGGTAAAACTAACACATAGTGCAAAATCAGTGCTATTTACTATAAATATAACAGAAGTTTATAACTGTTAAGGGTTGAAGGCTTCCAGAAGGTAAGACTTGAGCTGGACCCAAAGGATGGTTAGAATTCAGATTAGGGAGGACATTGCCAAGCAGGGAAATATTCTAAGCAAAGGTATAAAGGCAGGGAAGTGCACACTTACATGTGCACCCGCAGGTGTGCGTGCACACACACACACACACTCACACACACACACACACACTTTGAGAGGAGGATAAATAAGATCACTTGGATTTTAGTGAAGAGTTCATCTAGGGAAATAATAGGAGATAAGATTGGAAAACTGGATTGGTTCCAGATTATGGTGGCCCTTGAATGCTAAGAAAGGATTTTCGCCTTTGGACTAGCCCTTAAAGATTTCTGAGCAAGGGACACTCTGAACAAAGTTATATATAGTAAGAGAAATCTCAAGATTGCATGAATGGGTAAACTGGAGGGTTGAGAGAAGTAAGGCAGTTTGATCTCCGGATGCTATTTCAATGGAACAGTCATAGCTCTACAGATGTTATGGACCTTGCGTTGCCTTCTATAGGCATAGTACTGTGAAGAAAAAAGAAATTATCAGACTTATTAATTAGCTAGTTACAGAAGGAGGAGTCAAAGCCTTTGGTGGTGTTGAACATGGGGAACTGGGAGAATTATGGCACATCTGAAATTGGAAAGTCAGAGGGAAAAGCCGATATGGTAGGAAGGAAATGATTTCCATTCTAGACTTGTGAAGTTTGAGGCAACAATGGGATGACAAAGTAGAAATATCCAACAAGCATTTGGAGATATAGAACTGGAATGTTAGTCGCTCATCAGACATTTACTGAGCACCTACTCTATGCCAAGGACTTTACTTGAGAATGAAGTACAGGAGCCACCAAAGAAGGAGAGGGTTCATAATGCCAGAGAGAGTATGTGAAAGTGAGGGCCCTCATGAGACAGAAAGCATAGGTGGAAAATAAGCTTATAAGAAAAAGAATATGCCTTTAAGGTGCATGGGAAGATGAGAAAATATGTCAAGATAGAGAGGGAGTTAACTGGGGGCTTTCTTTAACTATTTAACCCTCATTGTGAAATGTAAATTGGTAAAGGAATTCAGTTTGGTGCCAGAATCCAGTATGGGGCACTTGTCTCCCTTATACGTTCTAAAGGGACTAATCAAATTTGCAAACTAAGGTGGAAAATGTTGCATTGATGTACCCAGAGCTTTGTTTTTGTTGGTGAGTGGTTGATACAGAGATGTTGAATTTGCTAATTATAATGGCAGAAGACGCAGGAACAAAATAATCAAAGCCAACTGTTAGCTGAGAGAGTTGGAGGTAGTTGAAAGTTTTGGGATTAGGGGGTGGGCTGTAGGGAGAGTAAACAGGAATTGGGCATGGTAGGACATGTGCTTTGAACAGTAATGAGGGCCTAGAAGTGACACTTGAATATAAGGTCCAGCATGTATCTCTCTTGTTTGAGTCATAGAAAATGAGAGAATATAATTTAGCTGGTACTTAGGAATCATTGAACATTGTGATATTGTGTTTGTTTGTTTTTTAATTTTGCCTTTCATTTATTCGGTGACCTTGAGCAAA